GCATGGCAGGGCTGGGGAGGAAGGCACGTGCAAGAGATTAGGAAAGGGACAAAGAAAGATCGGCTACTGAAAACTGGACATCACAAGCCTGGCTAGTAGTTCATGTTATACATAATTCAGCCAATTCATCGTGTAAATCATTTCTTATGCTTCATGAAATGCAATTTGCTTCCATGGCCAAGCATGACAAAGGTTTCACAGAATCACAGTTGGCAAAGAGCTCTTCTAAGGTCATTTATTCAGGGCCTGAGAGTTTGCTGAGGCATCTTGTCAGAACATTAAATAATCACACTATGTCATGAGGGAATATCTAATTAAGAGTCCAATTTCTCAAGTATCCGAGTACCTGTTACAATGTTCTGAGAACCCTTAATTCCCAGCAACAAAAGCAGCAGCTTAGGGTGTTCCCAGCAGGCATTTAATAGGATTGTGCCCTTATTTCATTTGGATGGGGTAAGTCCAGGCCAGTCAGGTGAAGCGACAGTAATCTGACAAGACAAGATAATGACAAATAGGGATACATCCCAGCAGGAATGTTATTACTTGAAAATGGTGGAACAACATTTTCTATGTGAAACCCCTCTAAAGAACAGGGCTGGATTTAAGCATGTACTCTTAGAGATTAAATCTGTGGCTTTGAGAAGGTCTGTCTGTACTCACACATGCAAAAGAATTGTGAGAGGTGACGTACCCTTTATCAGCCCCAACTGACACCATGTAGGAATAAACTACTGAGTTCCCACCCGCTATTTGAATCCAAGGTCTTCAAGGATTTAGGCTACTTTGCAAGGACTGTCTGCATTATAAAGGCAGATCACACTGCATCTAGTGCTTCAGAACATAAAGCTTAAGAAGAATCTATTCAGGAAAACCTGAGAACCAAAGTTTCCTGAACAGTGCTCTTGGTTTGATTCAAGTAATGGAAAGTAATTTGAGGTGGGTAGATGGAGACCTTTCAGCAAGATTTTTTCTGTTCATATAGCTGTAGCTGTATAAGAAGAATAATGCTGGATGTGATCAGAAAAGCATAGATACTGTATTTTGATATATGATATGTCTTCTGATGAAGGTAGATGAAAATAGAAGTGTTCTTTTCTGAGTATGAAGTGGCATTACAAAAGAAGTAAATGAGAAAAGATCATACTATTATGCTAAGCTCTTTTGGGAGAGTGGAAGGTTAAAATGAATCTCTGTGTTATCAGGCTCTTAAGTGAGGGATGATGCATTAGACTACCTGATTTTATTTGATTTGTTGGGAAACCAGAGCTTCCGTGCTATTTCTTGAACAAAATTACAGGCTTCGTTTAAAGAGAGAAGCAAAGCATACTCATCATTCTGGAAGAGATCAACGTAAGCATTTTCTGTATCATGAGTAATGTTTACTGGAAGAAATCAAATTACTGTAACACAGACCATCTGTTTTCTTTGCATGCAATCATGTAAGTGTTTTAGGACGAGCCATCCTATTTAATCAATTGTAAATCTCTTATGGGAAGGCACTGCTTTCTGTAATAAAATCTATTTTTGTGAAAAATGTAAGAGTTTTAAATACTGGCTTCCTCTGCATAAATATAATTTACATACTGTTCATAACATAAAGGGTAAGGGTGTACAGCAGTAGCTATTATCTGTTAAGAACTTAATATTATGTCTCTTTCAGTGGCCATTTTTGGATATTTGTTGTATCCACAATTCATTGGTGTTCAACACTGCTGGGAGAACAGCAAAATAAGTAGTAACATTCACTTATAGCCTGGGAGGTTGCTTTCTGCATATAACAAATATAGCATATATTGTTTCTATTTTGTTGCGTGTCTACCATGACATAATTGATCCCAGGGGAAGTTATTTGTCCATTTTCTAAATACGTAAACTTGGAAAGAGAGAAGGGAAAAAAAAAAAGGTCAATTTTCTTGAAACGACTCTGTAGATTGACATTGGAAACACTTAAAAGTTGTGATGTAAAAAGAAGACAACAAAGAAATCTGTTAACTTTGCTTTTAATCCCTGTTAGCAGATGCGTAATTGGGCACACCATCTTATTTTTGTATCTCTTATATCAATTTCCTTGATTCAAATTTTCACGGGCATAGATTGATCTAGTTAACTCTAGTTAACCATGACACAAATATTGTCCTCGGGTGCTCCTAAGTTCTTTTTAAAATCAGAGGAAGCTGAAAGTCTGCATCTTAAGCAAAGTTCTCTGATTTCAAAAGAAGCTGTGTATGTGCAATGCCAGAAGTTGTGCCCAATTGTATCAAATGGCTCTGAAATAAAAGAAGGGAACAAGCAGTGTTAGTAACATAGTTGGAAATTCCCTAGGAAGGAATTGATTGTCCTTCTCAGTGAGGTCAGCAAGCCAGAATTTCATTTGTTCAAACATTTCCAAATCAATGGTATTTTGACTGAATAATGAGGCTGCTTGAAGAGCTTGGTGCAAAAAGGATTGAAGAGTGCATGGTGCAAAACTCTTGCATTTTCTTAGTTAAATGGTAAGAAGCAAAGAAGGAGAGACAGATGAAGCATGCACTTGACAGAACTATAGTGCCTGTACTCCAGTGCCATCCCATTGGTTCCACCCAGGGAAACATTGAGAGAAATAAAAGGCCCCTATGAGGCCTCTCCAGCTCGTTCAAATACATTTGCGAAGGCTGGAATCAACAGCAAGTACACTAAACGTTTCACAGAATCACAGAATCCTGTTGGGTACAATGGATCTCTGAAAGCCATCAATAACATCCTAGTCTAAGAAAGGCAAAGTTAGATCAGGTTGGACAGGACGTTGCTTAGTTGACTTTGAAATATCTCCAAAGATGGAGATTCATCAGCTTCTCCCAGAAACTGGTTCGTCAGTCTTCCTTTTGCTGCCAGTGTTTCCCTAGAAGCTTGTCTTGTTGCTCCTTGTTTCTCTCACCTCTTTCAAGTCTGGCTGATGCCCGACTTCCTTAATTTCACCCCACATGGCCAGAAAGTGGTGTTCTGCACTGCTCCCAAGTAACCCTCCCTGCCTCTTTGTTTGTCCATGCTTTACCTCTGCTTTGATTTATTTGCTGGATCATGTGTGATAGAGAGGCAGCCTTCTGCAAGCAACTCATTCATTTGGGCCTTTTTGCTCTCTTGGTTTTTTGAAGACACATTTCAGGTGGAGCTGTGAAAAAAATCAATAAAAATGATGTTTTGATTTTTCAGATCATCTTCTTACCATATCCATCATTACTTTCCAAATATTTTAAGCAAGACATAATAATATATTCTGAAATATACATATTTTACTTCCGCATTTTTTTTGCATTTGCATATGAGTAAATTTACTTTTTTTTTTTTTTTTATATTTACTTGGAATATGTCAAGAATTTTTCTTTTTTCTGCAAATTTTTCTTCTGAGCCAGAACTTTTGAACAATAACCATGAGCTCTCTAATAGCTTCAGTAGACTGTGTACTATATTTTCCAGTTGCACAGTCTGTTTTACCCAAGAAAGTTGTACTGATATATTTAAAAGTGTCATGGAAAGTACTGGACCAGTTTTAAGAGCAATTACTGCTCTTTTTCAAATTTTTCAAATTTTTAATATCAAGAAATAATTCAGCAAAATGACTTCATTCGATTTGTGGTAAATAACAGGGGTAAACTATTACAGCTGTCATAATTACACTACATTTTGATATAAAAGTAGCATTCATCTGAACAGTAATAAAATAATTTGCTGAATGAGCAACTACAATAAGTATCTTAAAAATACAGAAGTCCTGACTCCTTTTTAAGTACAGTAAGTAGAGAATACTGCTGTTTATTTTAAGAAGTTCCTAGGTCTGCAGTGCTGAGTACACTGAAATAGGAATCAGTGACAAGGTGCCGTATAGGAGACTTTATTTATAGTAGCTTTATAATGGTTCTAAAGTGAGATGATAGATTTTGATACTCATGACCTTTAACAGAAAAATCTCTGAAGAGAATTTTGCTATTTTACCTCTAAAGTTGCCCCCTATTACAAGTTTTTTGCATTTTAGGCTTTTTGAGGCAATGAAAAATAATTCTTGGTTGGTTTTCTTTCTTCTTTTTAAACTTTCTGCTCTCTTGGCTGTTCAGTTTATGGTTTGGAAAATTATTGAGGGAAGCTCTGAAACTGACAAAGCTGGATGTTTGCATATTTCTACTTTTAATAGTGCTCTTAACTGTAATATATTTGGGGTAGTTGTGTTTGCTTTTCTCCACTTGACCCAGCCATGGCAGTGAAGTGAAGTGGCTGTAGAGAATGTGATTCATCCGTACGATTCTATAGCTCTTCTTCCAGTTCTCCACTAGATTCACCAATTTTCTGAAGAAAAAGGAGGAGAAAAGAAGATTATCATGGTCTTTCATAGATCAATTAGTGCTATATGGCAGAACAGAAGGAAACAGAAGTATTTCGTCACCATTCTTAAATACATTCTTAAATACACAGGTCTGACCAGCTCATCCCAAAAGTGGAAGAGTTTGCAGTTAAAAACAAACAAACAAACAAAAAAATTTTTTAAGGAATACCTTATCAAGTGAAAAGCAAGAAGAAAGTATAGTTTAAAGAAGATACAGGAAAGAGAATATGCTGAGAATGGTGGTATTGAATGGATATTTCAGACAGGACCACAGCCATTGCCACAAACAGCTGGATAGAAACTAAAGAATAGATACATCTAACATAGATAAAAGAGAAACATACTTGAAATGTGCACAATTACCTGGTAGAACTGATTGCTATCAGATAGAAAAAGATTTTGGAAACTCTCCTCACATTTTTTATCTTTCCACAACTGAATAGGGCAGCTTAAGCGATTCTAGGACTTTCTAAGCAAAGATCCCTGCAGACAGCTTTTTCAGAAACTCTCCTTGTCATTTTATTCCTCTATATTAGCTACTATTGAAGGCAGGAGGTAGGAACAACTTGAATTATGATATGACTGGAAATGATTGTCCCAAGGTCTTCATACACCTTATTTGGTCTCTTTATCCTCTCTGTCACAGGGAACCATCTTAAACCCAGGGCAAGAAACATAAAGTCACTTGGCTGTCCCTTATCTCTAAGGGCACCTGATGCATAAGTGGACTAGAGAAAGGAAAGAAAGAAAACCTCCAAAGACCTACAGATCATCTTGCTGGCAGGGTGAGTAAATATCCCTGTGTCTCATTCTTGGATTAGATATACAGCAAGAGATCCTGTTTGAAGAGTTGCCTCAAAAATTTTCTCTCTGTTACTTTTTGAGAAAAAGGTTGTAAAAATTTCCCACTGGAGACTCACATATGTTCAGAAATACGAAGACAGACACCCCCTATATTTTCAGGTTAGGCCTACAGCACAGATTTCATAGAATAGACAGTTCTGTGTCATGTTTCTTTTAATGTATGTGTGCTGTGAGGGCCATTTTCAAATTGAGTGGGTGATACAGGAATAAATAACTGTTACTGAAACTGTCCAAACTCCTTGTGATTCAAAAAGAGATGGAAAAGAAAAAAGAAGGTAAGAAAAATCTTTTTTTTTTTTTTTTATTCTTGGCATGGTTAGACTCCTATAGATCTAGATATGTGTTTCATGCCTTGTTTAGGCAATTTTTTCTTGCTCACGAAATGAAATGGAAAAATTACCTAATTGAGAAGTCTATTTATATGGTAGCCAAAACCGAATTTTATGATCCCATTTTCTTTCTGTGTTTACCTATTCCAAAATGTTGTAGAGGTACATACCTCAGCAGAGTTTGGAGCATTTCCTCCAGTTTATAACAAGCCAATCCATTGGATTCAAGTGTTCTGTCTACAGATAATTCACTTTTCAACAAGATATGAAAATCCAAACATATGATTAAAATGGAAAAAAATCCAACTTAAATCTGAAGCGTCTTGTGTCTTTGCAAAAGACAACAATAAAAATGTTGCATTCCTCCATTAGTATAGCCAAAAGTCACTCTGAGCGTGTACTTCCACTGTGTTCAGTATTGCTCATCTTTGCACCCTACATAGTGGCAAGGTTCTTGTCTGCTTCTGTGTTCTGTGCCTAAACTGAATCAAACTGAATGACTACAATGAACTCATTTTTCCCATAACACAAACCCACTGAACACTTTTTTTTCTTTTTTTTTTTTTTTAAGAGAAGGTAGTGCTGCTGAATTACGAATTCAGCTGTGTGTCACCCCACCCATTTAAGAATCTTAAAGCAATTTGTCAGTACCTGCAACACGATAAAACAAAATGAAGGGTGCTCCAGAGGACAAATATTTTCCTGCCAGCAGCTCCCTGATATGCAGTACAATATCCAGCAGTATAATAGTGCCTTTACAATTGCTACTCGATGATGTGTTTAGTATAATACTAGGCTGTTTCTCTTAGCATACAAGCAATGTTTTGACTTTGAAAAAAGTTTGCTTTTTCATACTGAGTGTTCTTTGAGGGGGTCTGTGTAAACATGAAAGCTTTTTGGACTTCGGCGTAATCCCCAGTTAGAAGAGTAATTTTCTTTTTTCCTTTTTTAATTTTTTTTTTAATTTGTTTTGTTTTGTTTTCAATAAATACTGCTCTGAGAGTGCTGAAAGATTATGCTGATGTGCATAATTTTTGCAGAGATCAAGTTGTTCCCTTGCCAATTCTGAACCCAATGGCAAAAGAAAAACCAGTCCTGCTTTCTGCTGTTGGACACTGGAATCCATAGGAAAAACTGTTCAGGGACAGGGGAGTCATTTTTCTCATCTCGCAGCAGTTTCTTGCCTCCTTGTGGAAAAAGCAGTAGAGCAGAAACAGCCTGTGGGCACGGGTTCGTCAGTACTTCATAAATAACGCAGTGTCTTCCTCAGCAATGCAATTACAGTCTGTGATTTTAACACTGCAGTTTACTTTCTGAATCACCACTTATTTCCTAGTTCTATTTCATTTTATATAATATCTATATAGTGGACATGGGCTTGACATGCATTGACACAGTCATGTCATTAAGTGAGGGGTACTATGACTGAGAACAACAAGGATGTTCAGTAAAGGTGTCAACATAACTGAAGAGTAAAGTTAGTATTAATTTTATTCTTAAAACCATCTGTGTGCATTGCTTTTAAAATCAATGTGTAAAATACAATCCTCTTCATGCTGAAAACTTATTGAAGCTTCATGAACATTACTGCAGGGAAAATAGCAAGTTGGTAAATGATTAAATGTATAATTAAAGGTTTCACATTTAATCCTGTCACTGCAGTGATTTATGGTTTCTATTATTTTGTCTAAGTAATGCACTCCTTTTTTTTCTAGTGTTTGTTCTTTTCTTCACTGTTGTTACTGCCTGTAATCTAATGGTAAGGAAATTTATCACAAGAACATTTCTGTCCTCAGCTGCAAGGTACAGAGAGTTAAATCACAATGTAGCAAATGCAATTCACTTCCCTTTGCAGTTGGTGGGAGAATTGTGAAATATTTACAGTGTTGGGCCAGGAATGCTTTACGTGTAAGATCAAAGGGAAGGATGTAGTCTCTGTGCTTCTCTGCTGTCATATTTAGGACTGAAACAGGTGTCTTCAGCAGCCAGTCCCAGGAAGGCTCAATAAAGACATGGGGCTGGAACATACAATCTGCCTCTGTAGTGCATGCCAGGATTGGGTGGAAACCTGCAAACGCAGCAGAACCTGCCTTGAAATAGCCCGTAACAAAAGCTGAACACAGTCCAGTGTCTACAAGCTACAGAGTCTGGACCATTCTCCAGAGGTAGGTCACCACAGCAGGGTCTTTGGAAAGGTCTTATCAGGCTTGGCTGTTGTCACTGCTGCCAGATGGTTACCTGGGAGCTTACTGCTCGTGCCCTTACTCAAGAAGGGGAATGTCAACCCAGGGAGTCTGTGCTGGCCCCAGCCTGAGGAGGGTCAAACGCAGACCCCTGAAAAGGATGCTATGGATACTTCTGTTGAAGGTCAACTGATGAGGATGCAGGGTTTAGGGGGGCAAAGTGAGACTTCACAGAATGGAGCTTGCTGCCAATGATCAGTTCTGAAGTGGGGAACGTGCCCCGTAGCCTCACACCTGTTGCAAGTCCTGTTTGACATAGTGCTGGCCCAGAAACCCAGGGCTCTTTCCTTACTTGTCAAGCTGCCCAGACACTGGCTGTACTCTCCTCTCATTAAGCTTTCAGCCAGCTGTGTGCTATTTACAGCTTTTTTCACTCTGGAACTGCTGCAATGAGTCCAATGGGCCATTCTCTACTCCCATTTTCTAGTCTAGCCTGTAGTTCTTCTGGGAAGTGGGCATCCATGCCAGCTCAGGCTGAGGAGAGCCTGGGAGTGAGATCCCTCACACTTGTTGGGTGCATGCGGAGCAGATCTAAGTCTTTGGGGCATAGATGTTGTGTCAGGATTGCAGTGATGTTTGTGGGACTTCACAGACAAAGAATTAGTAAGAGAAAACTTTAGCATCCATTGAATGTAAGTTTCTTACTAGTAGTTTTCATATTCAGACAAGTAATTTTTTATGTGGTTGAGATTTCCTCCAGTAATGAAGAATCCACTTAAAGAAACAGGATTTCTTATCCTACCAACGTATAATACTAAGATTCTCCCCCTAGAGACTTTTCACAAAAGAATTGCTGTTCTTTTCCAGAATATTGCAGTAGAAATATTTTGGGTTTTATTTCTGGTTGGCCATTTGAATTCACTCACATGTTAGCTTCATCAAATACTGTTACCTTGATTGGAAAAAAAAAGGTGTTACGTGGCTTTAACCTGCACATGGCTTATAGATGTACTGAATGACAGTTTTTAATACAGTTTGATTATGCTCTGTTGAAGGTGTGATTTACATTCTCCATACCACTGGACAATATTATTGTGTTCCTTCCTATTCATTGTCCCATCAATAATATTTTTATGCTCTGCAACTATTACAGTAGAAACTTTTGAGATCTTTACAGATTGTAACAGAGAAGAAAAGACAATGAAAGAGTATTCTTGAGAAACGCTCATTTAAAAAAAAGGACATCTTTTTTTTTTTTTTTTTTTTTGCAGTATGCTTTTTGGTCAAGTATTTCATTTCTAGTATTTTTCATGTTTTGGGTTGTTGGGTTTTTTTTTTTGTTTGTTTTTTTTTTTTGTTTTTTTTAATTTTCATTATGGTTGGTTGTTTTTTCCTGCCACATTATTTTCAGATAGGTAACCAGCAAGAACATGGTGTTCTGGAAAGCTAAAAAAAAAAAAAAGTGCTAGCTCCAGGATTGCCTTCCTTAATATTATTTTTTGGGGGATGAAGCTGCTGCATTTTGAGAAATGTGTGCTTGTTTTAGTGAGGGAGCTTATTTACAATTAAGCTTTGTGTTTTTCTTCCTTATGTGATAATAGCTAGTTAAAAATCTAGCAGTCCAGATAAGAAGTTCCTCTTTCTCTACTCAATCACCAGAACTCTAATTGGCAGCCTGGCCTTTTCCCTGTCACTGCAGTCCCCATTTGGATCAGAGGTCCCTCAACACTTCCTAACACTTTATTCAGATCTGGCTAATTTAAGTAATAGTTGCTCATTACCACTCCTTCAGAAAAATAATTAAACATGCAAAACTCATCCAGGCTTACAGCAATATTGTGTTTCACCTTTTTATGCTCCTCTTGTATGTTAAAGTTCTCTTTGTGTAATTCGTTTTTCTCTGCTGGGAGTACAAAAAGTAAGTGTAGTATCAACTGCTCTTTAAGATTGGTTGGCTGTATTTACTAGTCTTGCATGGAGAATGCAGGTGTAGGTAACATCACAGTGTGGTAGTGGCCTCAGTAATTTCAGTGGGCTCCCTTCTATGAGTCAGAGTTTAAAGAGTGCAGCATTTATCTTCTGCATGAGAAGCTTCAAAAAGAACATTGCTGTGTCCTGCCATAGTATTTAGCTTCATATGTGCTTAGGAGTGAATAATTTGTACTTTGAAACTGTCCTCTACGTGCTTATTTTGACAACGCTGCTATTTTATTTTATGTTTTGCTTTTTCTGAGCCACAGAAACTGAGCATGTTAATTCCTTTAAGCTTGAAAATTATGGCCTTTTGGTGTTTGAGATCAAAAGCATTAGCAAGACGCTTGAGTCAAACTCCTTGTTGGAATGAAATGGCACAGGTTACTTGAAGTCAGTTTGTTGAACTAATCCAATAAACAGCAGAGAGGAACTTGG